ACAGTTGCTTATTTGCATGATTGTACAAAGCGTGGATGCAATTATTTGTTTATAGAAAATACTTTTGAGGTTTGTTTCTCTCTCTCTCTCTCTTTCTGTTATAATTGTTCCTGATTTGCATGAAGTTTTGCCTCGTGCCAATTTATTCTTCGAATATTTTTCAGGCTTCAAATGGGATGGAGGAATTTGGATGCCAGAATAACGATGATATAATCTTGAAATGTGCATTTGTAACCACCAGGAAATGTAAGTTAACTTCATTTGTTTTATATTTCACACACCATTATCTTGCGGTGTTCTACTATTTCCGTCATACCCCTCATTGCAATTTAACTGTTGTCTTAATTATTAGCTTAACTTAACTTTATCTGTTAACTTAACTGTCAGCTTATGTCATAGAAACTGTTAACTTAACGCTTGTGTCATTCTAATGTTTATGTCATCCTAATGATGTTTCTGTTTTTTAAAAGCTTTATGCTGCAAAAAGATTTTTTCCAGATGAGAATGAATCGGTTCGCGTGGTATTTGCTACAAATGACAAGAATCTTGCAGTCAAGGCAGCGGCACATAATATTATAACAGTTGATAGAAATGTACTATTCTTATATTTTGTATTTTCAAATTGTAATTTTTAACGCTTTATCTTTACTCATTTGCAAGTTTTTTTTTTATAATTTGATGCAGTGAATTAACCAGCAATATAGAAGACTATTGATCTGACTTTTTTTAGTTTAAGAGTAACATTTCTATGCAAACTTTCTACTAATTGTGCAGCTAACAGTTTTGCATAGTTAAGTTTCATCGTTTGATTTCATCCCACTTAGTTATATAAATTGAACTTAAGTGGATTCATTTATTAATGATTTATTTAGACATAAGAAAAATTGAATTGAGTTTATTTTAAAATCTTTATTGTAAGTCACTTAACTCTTCATTCGTTTCTTTCAGGAATTGTTGCATCTGCTAACAGTTGATCCACTGAGAAGTGAAAGTCAGCAACTCATGATAAAAAATAATCAAAAAATCTCGCCGTCGGACTTCTCGTTTAATTTGGTTGACAAGCCATCATTATCGGCTGTTAAAACAGTACAAGTTGATGCAATGAAAAAGGTTGTGGATCGTTTACCTGAACCACTTGGATGCCATTCTTCATCGCCATCATTTACACTTTTTCTCCAAAAGAGAGAAATCTCTTCATATAATAGTTCAATTTCGGGAGTTGCCAAAGACGAATCTCGGACCTCTGTGCGAATCAAAAAAGAAAGCTGTGGAATGTCAGGCTCAATCGAACGTCGTGGGGTTCATCAACATCGGCGAATACCTTATTCACTTCGAAAAGCGGGGAAGGAGGTGAGGCAGTTTGGTTAAAATTGAGCGATGTGTTCTTCAGTTGCTAAGCAAGATTTCATGATGGCAATTTTTAGAGTAGCGGAAGCGGTGGAAGGTTATCTAAGAAGAAAAGATTCTGCCAATTAAATGAGCATTCCATGGCTCATTTTTTGGAAATATTTGCCGAGCTTGTCCAATATTTCAAGCACAGGTTAATTACATTTTTATAGGATTAAAATTGAAGTAAGTAACTTCTAGTTTGTCAGCTTTCTAATTTTTCTTGTTTCTTGTGATAGCATAATTCAAATTGTATTAAATTGTAGGAGCGACAAGAAATCAGTTGAGGATATGACAAGAATTAACAAAGTTATTGATTCGTAAGTTTTTTTGTTTGTATAAAAATTAAATTTTTTCGGATGCAAAAATTACTGTTCTCATTATTACTTACTGTTTTTATTTAGAGTCATTGCGAATGAGTCATTCTCATTGAGTGTTTTAGTCGACATTGTGTCAAAATTTTACGATTTTTATGCTGATCGTGACGTTTTTATATCAGCGGTAAGTTATTGTATAACATTATATAACACACGAAATTGATTGTTTTTATGGTTATAAATTTTTTTCTGTAGTGATCATTTTGATTTACTGATGATCATTTAAACTTAAAATAAATCAAGTAAGGTGAGAGAAAGAGAGTGTTATTTAATCAAGATTTAATGATGGGATATCTACATCCTGATTAACAGCTAAATCAAACTGAATTATCTGATGGCATTTTTTCCGAAAAGTCCGCTCTCCATCGTGTTGTGCATGCACTTATTGGATCTCTAAAAGATGTACTGCATTATGTGTCGTCTGGGCTAAGTGAGTAGGTGTTATCCATAACGAATTCATTTAAAATTAAACATAAACATAGGATTATATTTGCATGTACTGTTTACGAATGAAATTTCCAGACACATTTTGATAAAAAGCAACTGACAAATGAGTATGAAAGCAATGCCAATATCGTCAAGGAAAAGTTGCGCGCATTTCAAAATCAATTACTTATAACTCATTCGTATATTGCTCAATAATTTTTTT